AGGAGCCACAGGCTGCGCTGCATACGTTAGGGGCAAGCCACAGGCTGAATCGCTGGCGGATAGGCGACAGGGGCACCTACCGGCTGTGCGACACGCGGGCAGTGGACACGGCTAGATAGAGGGGGCTCGTAGTGCGCAAGGGGTACAGCTTGTGCAACCTATTCCGATATAGCAGTGTGAAGCGGGGCGGGTAGACGGGTGGTGGTCTCGTGAGCAAAAGGCACTAGAGAATTTTGGCGGGCGACTTCCTCACGGACGAAGGCTCGGACTTGCTGAAGCAATGGTGAATTGTCAGGCATGGTGTCGAAACTGGACAGCGACTCACCACCACGCTGAGGTTGTCGAGTCAGAGAGCGTTGCTTCTTCAACTCGCTGTAGCTCTGACATAAGCTGACGACTTCAGAAACTGTGCTCGGATTTCTAGCCAAGAGCACTTGAAATGCGCCATCATCGATGCCCTTTAGGTGGTGTTTGACCTTGTCCGACTCGGGCATGGTGTCATTCGCACGTCGACAAATGTCGGCGACATCCTCAATATAGCTGGTGAAATTTTCGCCAGTCTGCTGAGAGCAGACGCGCAAGCGCTGTTCTGCCCGCTGCTAGCGGACAGCCGGCCGACCAAACACTTCAGCACATGACGTCTTGAAGACGCTCCATGTGGGGATGTTGTGTTTGTGGTTGTTAAAGCACAATTCTGCGACGCTGGTGAGATAAAATATGACATGGCCGAGCTTGTCGGTTTCATCCCACTTGTTATTGGCGCTCACCAGCCCGTAGTGCTCAAGCCAGTCTTCCACGTCGGTCCCATCCACACCGCTGAAGACCTTCGGGTCCTGTAGCCTAGGATGGCCGGGGCAGTTGAACTGGGGCGACGATGCCGATGGGTTGGCGTTGTCAGTCATGACAAGCGGTAGCGTGCGGCTTCGCAGTTCCAGGGTGTAGCGACGGGGATGAACAGCACTCTCCACCAAATGTGACGAGGTTTATTAGTCGATAACGACAACGCCAAGACAGCGTGAAGAACCGTCCAGCAGAGATCAGCACAGCAGCGAGCCGGAGCCCGAGCTGAGAGAGCCGGGCGTTGGCGATGCTGCTCGCCGCAGGCACATCTTCTGCACAATATATATATATATATATATATATATATATATATATATATATATATATATATATATTAAAAATTCCAAGTCTCTACTCCGGCCTTTGGCTTGACTAAGAGGGAGAAAGTCAATAGGAATAGTAGGGTGCTTTACTAGACTGCTTGCTACCCTACACGGGGAGAGATGGTAGTGAGGAAGTGAAGGAGACGTGAGATACACATTGCACATAACACAAACACCACACACGCACTGCAGGTTTCGCAGGCGGTCGCACAGTAATGTTGCCTTCAAGAAATGTTGAATCGCTCGTGTGGCTTTCTGGGCTGATGTACTTGAAAGTCACGCACCCGAGATCTTCTGCAGAGTGAAGGGTCCATCATCCAGTCTCCTTAAGGCATGCTGGAAAGTTCAGCGATTCTCTTGAGTCTGGACAACAGCACAGGACATGATCAAGAGTTTCTACGCAACCACAGTTTTCACTGTTCGGGGAGTCAGCCATATCAATGCAATAACCGAATGATTTGGTAAAGGCTAAGCCGACCCACAACCAAGATGCCTTTTCCAAATCTACACCTTATAATGTGCATGCATTCAGTGCTCCCTGTCCCACACTGAATTTTGCATCTTAATCTCAAAGCTTATATGTAGACATTAGAAAAAAACACAGGAAGCGACTCCCGGAGCTTCCTAGAAGCCGCGAGAGTCGCTCTTTGAAATGTGAATTATTATGAAATATATGAAATAATACAATAATAAATGTATAAAATATTAAGATTTTGAACTGTGAAAGTGAGCGAATTTTTCGCAGTTGAGTTCTTTTGTATATTACTTGTTTACTTCAATTGCGCACTTCTGTGAACTTAGCTGGATAGTCTATGGTAAGTTAAATGATGTTCATAACAAGTTTTAGACTGTGAAAAGGCTTCACCCGTATGTTTTTACAGAAGGTGTTGATATTGTGCCTCATATATGCGCAATATTTGCTTTTTAATCGTGTGTGTGTGCAAGTATGAACTCAATATTCAGATCAAGATTGGGCGCCGGGGAGGAAGAGGTTGAACTTTAATAGCCTAATAGTTTTTGTTCACAGACAGACACAAATACAGACCAAAACTTCTGCGTTTAAGTATCCTAATAAGCACTGTCGTCTTTAAAAAGTGCGCACAACCATAACGATACATTCATACCTGGGACGCAGGGTCTTCCCCCTCTACAAAGTAAACTAAGTGGAGCCCAAGCCATTGCACCAAAGGCTACTCCACACAAGGACCTACCCGTACCGCCGTTTATTAACAGGATTTATCCGGAGTTCTGTGTTCGTACGACATGCGATGAATTCCATAACACCACACATTTCGCTCATATGCTCTGGCGTTGCTCCGTGTTACGGAGCCGCAGGAAAGAAACTTCAGAACGATGGGACGCAGCTTTACGCAGTCCTACATTAGAGGGACAACTATGGGCAGCGAAACCGCCCCACGAAGTGGCAGAAAGGCAAGATTTTTTGGTCCTGACGTTAGAGCGACCTGTTTCGTGCTACGACACTAGCGTGGCCTATCGGACATTGATAAATTTTTGTCATCCATCCATCTATCCACTACCGTGCTGAACCACGCATGAGCCAAGAAGCTGGCACATCCACCGACGTATATATTCTGCGCAGCCGCTGCGCTGAGTTTGTCGGGTGTGTTGTGACCTGAGTACGAGCGATGAAAGACCCACGCTTCTACCTGCAGGGTGCCACAGCCAAGTTTGTACCTGAGTTTTTGGCGCTCGAAATTCAACGTTTTTGCAAAATTAGTGATTGGATGTTGTTAGACTCAACAGTATCTATGCCGAAAAAACACTTATAGCATGAGCCAAGAAGGCCATTTTAAGCCCCTAAGACTGACCCAGCCTCACTGTTTCTCAAGCTTCATGTAGCTAGCGTCCACTCCTTCATTTTTAAAGACGATAGTCTTTGTTGTCTGTCTGTTTGTCTGTCTGTCACAAAATTCAGCCATCCGCTAAAAGTTGAAGCCCTCGCTCAAAGCCCAGACATCTTCAACTGGCGGCTGAATTTATACTTGCAATCATTGTCAATCAAAAAGCAAATATTACTTATATCTGAGGCGCAGCATCAGTACTTAAATATTAGGTGGTGTGGTCTTTTACATAGACACATAATTATAAATAACCTTGAGTTTCTTACATTGCACTGTATATGCGACGCTATGCACAAAAAACGTAGGTGTTTCTTATTCTGAGCCAAAAATACGAGGCTGTGGCCGAAAAAGCGCCCTGCCGACGCTATGGTCCTGCCACCTGGAAGTGGCCCTGATTTCTGCACATGTTTCTTGACGACACTGCCAGATGGCGTCCATATCTCACACAATGCCTCCTCTATTTTATAAATACCAGACAGATGCGGCCGATTCAGCAATGAGAAGGTGCTGTCTGAAGCTTCACAGGTGGCAGCGAATGAGACCAGGACTCATGTAGCACGACTGGCAGAGGACTATCGTACTTCAACGACATTTGCACTGAAGCGCGCAGATACGCCTCCAGTCTCTTTTTTTTATTACATTCATCAAGGGGCACCATTTTTCCGTAGGTTTTGTCATCCTTTTTCTAAACGTTCAACGAAAGCTCCAATATTTCATTCAGCGAATAAATGTAGTTGTATCGCTATTGCAGTAGTTTGCACGTAGAGCTTTGTTCTTCCTATAGCTCTGACCACCCCGTTCTATCCTGCGCCGAAAAAGGCGCTTGGCTGCTACTGGAAGGACAAGCTTACTGTGCAGTTGATACAGATGCACCTGGACTATGGAACAAAGAGCACTTCGAGCAACCGCGGTTGCTTTTGTTCAGCCTGTGCAATAGATCAGAAAGAAAGCGATCGCTTTACGTTGCAGTCGAGTCAATATGGAATGGCCCTAGGACCTGGAGTATACTTTTCTTGGGTGCGTATCGCAGAAAACTTCCAGCGTGATGCCGCTTAGCGTCTTCTAGCATGATAACCTCGTAGCGTCTTTCGCTGAACTTTGATGTAATATTTAGTCAGCATCATTCATGAAAACTGGTACAATTGTAGCCGACTCAAATTTGGTGCATGATGTACGTTCTCGTGCCCGTTCCAGTGTCAGCTGGTTAGGAACGTTTGTATAAATACACCTGGCTTCAAAAAGCCTTTGTGGCCGTTGTTCCTCAAAGTGAACCGTGACGAACTCTCTGGCAATGCGTGAAGCCTTAAAATGTATCTTTTTTGTATTGTTGTTTATTTCAATATGATTATATATACTCCGTAGCGGTGAATTTACTTGTATCCTAAATTAATAAGAAATTACAATTCTGAACTCATAGCGAGTGCGATAGAGGTTTAGCAATGCTTGCTGTTCAAAAATCAGTGTTCTGATAGCATTATGTTGATATGTGTTTATGTATGTGCCCCAGCATGTATTTCTTTCTTTGCATGTCGCGGCGCAAAACTAGAAGCATCGCTAGTGCATTTTTAAAATTAGTCACAGTCATGCACAATCCAGAGGGGAAAAATGTAGCGATTTGTCGTATCTTTTGACCATGAATGTGATTGAAATTATAAACAAATATTTAAAAGCTCGAACAGTAAGTCGTCTGTTGGCCGATTTTATAACTTGTGTTGTTTATATGGCAATGCGTGTCATTACGCTTTCTAGTAGCTTGAGATGAGCTGATAAATTTATTGAAAACTTTTATAAGGTTAGAGAAGCTTGTGTCTCGATGCTGTTCTTAGAAGTCGTCTGGAGAGCAACCCAGCACGTGAGGACGCTTCACCTGCGATTGTCTCAGAAGCACATGTGCCAAACGAACGCCAGTATTCTCACATGTTTGTATGTCTTTAGTTTCACAAGTACCGTCTGCCACTGCGCTTTTGTACGGGCTACAGCTTTAGTACCCAGCTGCAGTCGCACCTGCGTTCAAGCGGGGCTACCTAGGTGAATGTCGTTTCTCTTCATCTAAAAAAGCATGAATACCCACACACTGATCACTTTTCTGGTTGTGAATACAATAATTTCTGAAAGTCTCGGTGAGTACATTATTTACTAATTCGAATTTTCTCAAGTTGTTACTTTCATGAATAGTGAATTTCGCAGTTTTACGTTCTAAAGACACAGAAATATAATCAGGCACATCACAGTGGCAGTCTCCGTATTCCTAATTTACTAGCTTTGGTTTCAGTGTGTTTTACGTCCACATACAACTACTACCGAACATTGTTCTTTACCATAATTCAAATGCGTTCGCCAGGCACGGAAACCTCACTCGTGCAATGGAGCTTTGCAGTGCAACGCTTCATCTACTGAGCAACCTATGCGGCTAATAGTTTAGTACCAGTACGCTCGGCTAATACGACGTATCGGTTTCGTCTTTTTATCTAATAGTGATGTCATACGCTTATTACGAGAAGCAGTGGGAATCTAACACCACCGAAGCATAAGACCGCTGAGTGTAATCAAAAAATACAATTTTCGTGTGCCTTCAGCGTAAATGAATCACACGTACTGCTGTCCTTATTTACGGGGACAAACACATAAGGCTGTTTTGCTGTTTTGGTTATAGGCGCAGAAGTGGAGGCAACGGTATGTTTTTGTCAAAAACATCTGACGCGTTTTCTTGTTCTTGCATGATCTACTCTGATGATAAACGTCTTGCCGCTTACTTCAAAGCGTTTATTGCAGAAGACATGGGCAGCACTGTTTCGTAAGCGTATATTTACTCGCCAACCCGCTCAAATCTTTTGGGACACCATGTGCGGTGTTTGTATGTCCGTGTTGTGTACTAGACTACATGAGATCTTCCTTTTTATTTTTTACCATATTCTGCTCTTCGTTCAGTAACCTATCACTTCCTTGTTCCTTTAAATGTATCGCCTTTTGTTTTCCTCCTCTTGTTGAATGATGTGGCAACAAGGCTTGAATTAGATGGTAAAAAGTGTGGCACAATTGCACAGCGCAAGTATTTCCAAGTATAAGTATCTAATATGCATGCGTGGTAATCACACACAGCATCCCTAGGATCGTGGTTAACTGGATTTATTGTCGACCTACACGAGTACACAGTTAATCACGTCTCGAAGTAAGTACGTGCTATCTATATCCGGGAAATATCAGGAAAAAATCGGCTTTTACGTAACTCAATTATGCCTTGGCTTGCTCAGCAAGAGAAGTGGTTAATCTTATTGTTTAGCTGGTTCCTCTGTGCGTGACAGCTTTTTTAGGCTTGCGCTTCGTTCATTCTGCCTCTCCTCGGTTCGCAGTTGCCTCATTGTATCGTTTCGACAATGAAGATTGGTTTCTTTCAGTGTTTCTGAGCCACTTTTTATATTTTTTAATAATTACCACCAAGCCGCCCAGCTGAATGGCGCACTCATGATGATCGGCCGATATGTTTCACGTGCCATCGGATAGGACACATCGCTCGCCATTGTCGCAGCCACTGGACCTCATCACCTCGACCGAGCTTCTATGATTGGGGACCTCGCTCCGAACGTGCACCATATGCCCCGTCCTACCGTGCTCAGATAGGTGCAGAGCATAATCCAGAACGTTGGACCAGCCGCTTGCCATCGCCCGTGCGTCGTCAGTCCCGCTCGCCCCTACCCCGCCGTTGTCGGTCTCCCTACGACCGTCACTCGGAAAACTAGCCAGTGCAGCCCCCGGAGGTGACGCTGCATACACGACTCGGACTGCAAATCCTCTGATTACTCCCGAACAGCAGCGGTGCAACCTTCTTACACTTCTCGTTGATGGTTTACCTGTAACTGCTCTTATTGATACCGGTGCACAAATATCTGTGATGAGCTCAGACCTCCGCCGCCACCTCCAAAAAGTTCTGATGCCTGCGATGGCATCTACCGTTCGTACAGCGGATGGGAGTACTCCTGCTGTGCTTGGAATGTGCACTGTGCGATTAATGATTTCTGAGCATCAGACTTCATTTCTGTTTGCTGTACTGGAAAATTGCCCTCATGACCTCATCCTTGGAATCGACTTTCTGACTTCACACGCTGCGCTAATTGACTGTTTCAAAGGTCTTCTTCGGCTCGAACTACCATTCTTCTCAGAGACCGTCTCTACCAGCCCACCTCGTCTACGCTCTGTCGATTTCCTCAGACTTCCAGCCGCAAGCTGCAGTCCTAGTCCAACTCTCGTCATAATCCTCCAGTACCCGATGGTGATTATGTTGCTGCCACAATTTCTGATGTGGCCATGACACGTAATGTTGCACTCCCCAACATGGTGGTTACCGTTAAGGACAACCGAACTTCATTTCCCGTCCTCAATTTTGGCATCTCAGCGCAAGTTATTCCTCGCGGCATGTCACTTGCGCATCTGACACCACTGGTCGACCACACAGTTTCTGCCCTAACCACCGATTCGCCACCCGATTTTTCATCAACGTCGCTCTCGTCACATTCCTGTTCCGACCTATTCAAGCCAATGCTATCTGACAAGCTCACCTCTGAACAAGTGTTTGCTCTCTGCCGTGTGCTTGCTTCTTATCAGTACATCATTGACTTCGGCGACGGTAATTTGGGCCAGACATCCGTGGTAACCCATCGCATCGACACCGGTGAAGCTCGACCCATTCGCCGACGGCCCTACCGTGTGTCAGCCCCTGAGCGTGCTATTAGGCAGCGAGAAGTCGATAAAATGCTTCATAAGGGCATAATTGAACCCTCATCTAGTCCCTGGTCCTCACCCGTTGTACTTGTTAAAAAGAAAGACAATAGCTGGAGATTCTGTGTTGATTACCGCCATCTCAACCATATTACCAAGAAAGATGTCTATCCCCTACCGCGCATAGATGATGCACTCGATTGCTAACATGGTGCCAAATATTTCTCTTCAATATACCTTCGCTCAGGCTAGTGGCAGATCGCTGTGGACGACAAAGACATAGAGAAGACGGACTTCGTGACTCCTGATGGACTTTATCAGTTCAAGATGATGCCTTTTGGATTATGCAATGCCCCCGTGACTTCTGAGTGCATGATGGACTCTCTCCTTTGAGGCATGAAGTGGACCATCTGCCTCTGCTATCTTGACAACGTTATTGTTTTTTCGACTACTTTCGACGACCATCTTACCCGTCTGTCAACAGTGCTTGATGTTTTCTGACGTGCCAACTTGCAACTTAACTCGTCCAAATGTCCTTTGGGCAACGCAAAACCTACGTACTCAGCCATTTTGTTGACGCTGTGGGCGTTCAACCAGACCCTGCGAAAGTCCGAGCAGTTCGCGACTTCCCCACACCCCGCTCAGCCAAGGACGTCTGAAGTTTTCTGGGACTGTGCTCCTATTTGCGTCATTTTGTCGAGAAGTTTGCTGAAGTAGCCCGTGCTCTAACCTGCCTCCTAAAAACGGATGTCGCACTTACCTGGGGCCAACAGCAAGCAAACGCCTTCTCGTCACTCGTTGACATTCTCACCAATCCACCAGTCCTAGCACACTTTGACCCATCTGCCGCCACGGAGCTTCGTACTGACGCCAGTGGCCACGGCATAGGCGCAGTGCTGGTGCAGCGGCAACAAGAATGCACTGCGTCGTCAGCGTACGCAAGCCGACTGTTGTCGCGCTCGGAACAAAATTATTCGATTACAGAACGCGAGTGCTTAGCTCTCGTCTGGATCATTGCGAAATTCCGACCGTACCTGTATGGCTGACCATTCTCAGTTATTACGGACCACCATGCGCTTTGCTGGCTCTCCTCACTCAAGGACCTTACGGGACGCCTTGCTCGCTGGGCGCTGCGCTTACAAGAGTACACTTTTTCCGTATCCTATAAATCCGGACAGCTTCACAAGGATGCCGACTGCTTGTCCCGTTACCCAGTCGATCCCCCTGACATGATGGAAGATGAACAAGAGGCCCTCGTTCTTTCAATTACCGACTTCACCGACATAGCTGCTGAACAACGCCGCAACCCCTCTTTGCGTACTATTATCAATGGTCTGCACTCTCCCCACCCTGACCAATCCTTACAGCTGTTCGTTCTTCACAACGACATCTTGCACCGCTACAACGCCCGCCCAGATGGTGCTGAGCTTTTACTCGTTGTTCCTGCGCATCTTCGCTCAGACGTTTTGGCCCAGCTCCATGATGCCCCTTTCGCTGGACACCTAGGGGTGTCACGCACGTAAGACCGCGTTCACCGCCAATTCTTTTGGCCTGATCTCTACCGTTCTGTGTGACAGTACGTTGCGGCATGCGACCTCTGCCAGCGCCGCAAGACACCTGCTCTGGGACCTGCTGGTACCCTCCAGCCCATTGAAGTACCAGATGAGCCTTTTTTACGAGGTGGCCTCGATCTTCTAGGACCTTTTCCCGGGTCGGCCACCGGTAATACGTGGATTCCTATTGCTACCGACTACGCAACGCGGTATGCTGTTACACGCGCCCTCCCCACCAGCTGCGCTTCTGGTGTAGCCGATTTCTTTCTTCATGACATCATTCTGCGTCACGGTGCTCCTCGTCACTTGATCACCGACCACGGCCGCTGCTTTCTTTCTAAAGTAGTCGACGAGCTCCTGCGATCCTGCTCTACCCCCCACAAGTTCACTACAGCGTACCACCCACAATCCAATGGCCTCACGGAACGCCTCAACCGTACCCTGACGAATATGTTAGCGATGTACGTCCCCAAGGATCACAAAGATTGGGACATCCACTCACCTTTCATTACCTGCGCATACAACAGTTCACGTCAAGATACAGCTGGATTTTCACCTTTTTACCTACGGTTTGGTTATGACCCACCTTTGCCCATGGACACCATGCTCCAATCTGACGCCCCCTCATCGACTGTTTATGTTCGTGATGCCCTGGCCTGAGCTGACATCGCCCGCCAAGTCACCCGGGATCATTTATGTGCCTCACGGCTTAACCAAAAGAGTGCTTACGATCGCCGGCACCGCGCCGTACAGTACTCCCCGGGGTCGCTCGTCTTGCTGTGGTTACCACCACGTCGTGTTGGTCTCTGCGGAAAACTGACGTACCGTTACGTTGGCCCGTACCGCGTCATACGCAAGGTCACCAGCGTGACCTATGAGATGGCTCCACTCCATACCACGTCAGTACCAGCTTCAGTACCGACCGATATAGTGCACGTCTCACGGCTGAAACCATACTACTGACGCCCCGAAAATTGATCGCACCGGGACGGTGCTTCTGCCGCCGGCGGGTAATGTCACGGGCTAAGTAGATGCCTGAGGATGACGACGACGAAGTGCTGAACGTGAACGTGCTCGGACTGCAGCAGCGTTGAACGCATTTCCTTGCCAGTATATTCATCGTGTATACTTTATTCCCGGTAACAATATATACGGTGAAATACCGTCTTCTGTTGCAAGCCAGTATCACCAGCTCCTCCTCTGACGTCATGCTACATGGCGCAGTGAGCGACACTGCAAGGTGCGGCAGGTTGGTCGGCAACGGGTCAGCTTCAGCTCCGGCCCTTGATCACACTCGCGTAACGGCGAGAACATGGCCAATGTAGCTGCAAATTTCGAGTTTGAAAATTCCAGGGTATAACCGTAACTCTGCAGCACATACATTTGCAAAAAAAGTTAACCAATAATCAGAGTATCCAAAGTGCGCGTTTTATTGCGAAAAATATTCCTTGCCTTCTTACACCTACGCTCCATACTCTATTATAACAAAAACAATAAACTTTTAAGGTTGTACAGTAAGGATGAAATTTTCAGCATAGGTGTTTCTTTGAGTCCACAGGAGTCACGAGACCTCAAAGAACTGCGAAATAGTCCTGAATTTTCCATTATTCCTACGTACAATTAAATGCGTGAGCATATTTTTCAGACCATAACTTGGTGTTACTATTTACTTTCCTCGGAAATTCACAACACTCACATCGAACGCTATATACAGGTGACTATATTACCACAAGTCTGTGTTACTGAAAAATTGCATAATATTATATGTAATGTTGCTTCCGTACTATCCTCGATTCACATTTAAATACCGTTTTCAAGGTTACACAAGATAAGTTGCCGTTTTGTTCAACTGATTCTGAGCAACGCCGATCTGCTAACATGTTTTGCAAGGTCGCTCGCCATTCTAATTCTGCTTAGCCATTGTGTTCTTAGCGTCCTTCTTTGTTTTTTTAATAGGCTGAAGCACAAAAAGAATATTCATTGCATTGTTTTTTAGATAGACCTCGTACAAGATGTCGACAAAAAATATTCTCGTTTTCTGAGTTCTCAGTTACACATAAAAAAAAAGCCGTTTCAAAGTTAAACCTCTTTACTGCTATTCCGCACAGACATCCTTCCGAGAAATCATAATACAGGAACAAGCAGACAAAGAGAATTACAGATGCTCTTAATGGCAATGTTGTCGTGGCATTATTACTTGTAGCATACTACAAGGGCTCATTTCTTCATTATTTTTTCTTCTGTTCTTTATATTTATTTGTCTATTTTACCTTTACGCAGTACTGCTAGTCTGGCGAAATTCCCCTTTTTTGAAGCCTGCAGGATTACTTCACCCTATATATCGATCTACCTAGAACACCTCCACCATTATAATGTCACGTTTTAAATGAAAGCGACGTTTACAAGCATCTACGCAAGGTCTCCGTCACCCGAGAGTGGTTAACATAGAACAGCCAAAACAAAGGCCCGTGCAGCAGGACTACCGCGTCTTCATTTTCCTCTTTCACGCTGTAATACAAAGCGCGTGGCACGCGCCAGGTGGCCCGTGTGAACATAAAGAATCAACAGGATATCGATACATGGCGCTACAACCTCCGCCACAGACTCGTCGACTACCGAGCGGGAGACCAAGTGCTAGTTTGGACCACCCTTCGCCGCAGAGGCCTGCCTGAAAAACTTCTCAGCCGCTATTTTGGCTCGTACAAGGTGCTAAGACGAGGGAATCACCTCAACTACGAAGTCAGTCCGGACGGCAGTCCAACCACCACAACGCCGACAGCCCCAGCCGAGGATTTCGCACGCGGTGCGGTTAAAATCATACCACAAATTGTGACACTTATGGCTTTCCGGACATTAGGTTTATGTTTAATTACCGCAAGCGCATCATTTAGCATCGAAGTGATGCTCTTTCGAGGGAGGGGCAATGCCATGCAGTTTATGTACCAGCGCGTGAGAGGCAGATCAAGACGCTGTAGTCCTCATGCAGGGGTCTTTGTTTTGGCTGTTCTGTGTCGACCGCTTTCGGGCGACTTGGACCTTTGTAGCAGCTCTATAAACGTCGCCTTCATTTAGAACGAAAGAGCATCACCTCTTCGTCCTCGTATTGTCACTCCCCTCTATGTGGTCACGACAAATGAATAACTAACTATTGATATTAATACTACACTTTAATATTATTACCACCAATTACACATGTTTAAAAATTTTCTTGATTGCACAACGTCATTCAATTATATACGAAATATTTGTGGCACTTGTGATTTTCTGGCCAAATCAACCCGCAGGTGTAGTGTCAATCACTTGTTTTATTTCAGCAGGAGACCAAAAGAAGACTTCGGTCCCGAACTTGAGTGGATCTAATCAAGGCAAACAATGTGAGTAAAGATTTGCCTTTTTTTATTGAGAGGGGGGTATCTAAAAGAACCGTTTTCAGTGAAATCTTGATAAGATTAGGCCCTCATTAGCAGGAGTATACTGAACACTGTCGAATCCTTCAAACTCTTAAGCTCAAATTTCCAATAAGCCCACTTAAAAAGGGTGGAGCAGTTGGATAGAGCGTAGGTACGTACTATAGCGAGTCGACGCTTACCTCGCATCATCTAGGCCTCCCCACAAGTCGGTTCCATGTGCAATGCAGTCATTTCTAGTCATGCAGAAGGAAGTTTCTGGGTCGAAAAGCTTGCCTTTCTGTGGAAAACAGCTCGTAGGTTCTCCTTCCCTTAATCCACCGGTCATTCCTATCATACACAAATACACCTTAAAATAGATCTATTAAGGTGCGATACGAGGACAAACTAGTGAAAATGGCCACCCACGACGGTGTATTCTGCTAGAATGCAGACGAGAATGCCAAGACCGCAGTTTCTTCGCTGCGACCTGTTCCTGTGCCAGGGTGTTCATGGCAGAAAGTCGCCATTGGTATTTTCGGTTTCCTGGACAGAGGCCGCAAGGTTGCATGTTATTTACCACCATTGTCGCCTATCGTTCTCCAGAGGCCCGAAAGTGCAGTTCTGCAGCGAGATGTCGACGCCCACAGTTACAGGCTTTCTGCTCTTAGTATTTCGTCGAGAGGGCAACCCCAACGACATGGCATGTCAGAACAACCCACAGTTTTATTCTCGAGAATGCAAGCACTTTTTGAAAGATCGTTCATTCACCTCCCGCACTCTTCGTTGTCTTCCGCCAGTTGATTGAACTCGTAGAACGATTGAGCCATATATATGCCTTAAAGAACTTCGTACAGACCCCATTGCTGGAACATCGACCATTCCGCCCAGTGGTCGTCAAGTACCTCGGCGTCACTGATGCACATCGCACTTTACCTCGCCTATGTTGCTACATATAAGACGGCCCTGAACACGCTTCGACGTCGTCGGGTATCCGTCGTTTGATTCTTTTTTGAAAGACCCGGTCACCGAGTTCAGCACAGCGTCGTCGGGTTCGAGCAAATGCCAGAGACAGCAAGACGACGAGGGCCGATATCTGTTTAGCCAAAAAGACGACCAACATGGCAGTTGGTGACTTAGTTTGGTGAGAAAATCCTATGTAACGTGCAAAGGCGACATATTTTTTGACACTCCCCGCTAAGTGCGGGAGCATCATGGACAGTCGTCTTTCAGCCTCGTTGATGGCAAGACCTTCGATGCATTCACGCTTGCCAAAGTTCCTTCAGGTCCGCGTACTCTGCATACGGAGATACTTGAAACGAGCAAGAGTCTACCACACCGACGTCCTTGTCAATAAAAAGCACTGATCTACGAGCTGTTCAGGAGACATCTCAAGCGTCCAGCTGCGTTTCTGCCTGTTCCTATAGCCACCCGTGCTGGTTCTTGACTCGTACACGCCTGAGCCCCAGCCACGTGGGCTTCTCCTTGCTTTCGTGGCACATTGAGCGGCTTCAGACCGGCGCTTCTCTAACCCGTAGCCACATTTGGCTACTGTTCTCCTCCAACTGCCAAAGGCCGGGAAATGTCGCTACAGCAGCTATGTGAGACATTTGTTTGTACTTTCGTTCTTCTCGTGTATGTTATGTTGTTTCACACAACGGGTTATTCATCAGTTTGGTGGTGAGAAAAGAAAACATTCATGAGTTTCGCACGTATGTTTGTGGCTGAGACCTATTTTATAATTGCGTTAAATAATGTTCTTTTAATTGTGAGCAGTAAGTATTTTTATTACCTTTATAAACATGAGTTGGTAATTTACTCTGCACCTTGTAGCACTAACGCACTAACACTATATTACCCCCTGAAAAATTTACGAGGTGGATGTCGATATGTTGCGTCATTAGTTTTGACAAGAATGCAGTGTGCAAACCGTACAAGTCCACATTTGTGGCACTCTTTATCAGATGTATATGTTTTGAGGTCGTCATATGAAGCATAATTGGGTTGCTTCAGATTATGGTGGCTGGTCTAATTTTTTTTTCGCAGTCCCAGATGATGATAACGTGGTCATATGGCAATGTTAAACAACTTTCTGAAACGCACGCCTAAAATAAAAAATAGAGCCTAATTTCTCGTACAGATAACCCAGAGGTTTCAAATTATCAGCTGTCAGAGTGCAGGAGAGTTGTAACTAATTTCGCGAAGCTATGGCTTTTTTAAGATTTAAATCAACAAATTTTAAATCGATTCACGTAAGACGCTATGCGAGAAACCACAGTTAGCTTCAAAATATTCGTTAGCAGACGTGTCACGGCTACACCAGGGAACGTGGCTATACAAGGGCAGTGCCCCTACATTGTTTTATACATAACAGAATAGATGCACTTTATTCCTCTCAGTGCCTGGAGCGGAAGGTGGACACAATGGTCCCGAAGAAACAGTGGACATAGTCTTGGGAGACTGCGATCAGTGCTCCTGCAAGCTCATTTTACGAGAGGAATCTGAAGAGGATGACAACAAATGCCAAAAAATAATGGACATTCGGTGTACGTGTAACGGAAATCATTGTACAAGCAAAGAAATATCAAACTGCTTGGCTGACATGGCTGACACGTCTTAATAAAAAGAAACGTTGGGGTTGCGGACCACTCAATAAAGGTAATAATACTTACGTATTCCCAAGTGGTGTCGTGTTGTACACTTACTTGAACTTCATTTTGACGAATATTGTGCATATGTGTAGAAACAATTGCACATCGTTCCAAAATAAAAAAATGGCGGTTTTCGCTTTTAATTCGTATCAAAAGAATGCACAGGAGACCCTTAAAACTTCCTAAAGAGTATTCTAGTCACTATCAACATAGGTGACGTACAAAACCGTTTTATTTAAAAACACAAACGTTAGATTGAAAACACTTGGCTTACTTACGATTATCCCTTTTTTTTGGTTTCTACATCTAGGTTTTCCATGGGTGAGTTTACAATATTCAACAATACTACTTTGTATTGCAATGCAAAGGTTCGGATACGATATGGACATATGGTGACAAAATTCACTGTACTTGAATAAAACTATCTCGCTCGCCATGTCCTCCTCTCTCTCACACTGCGACCCGCCTTCTCATTTGGCATATCACAAAACTCGAACATCAATTCACTTAGCAATGTCTTAAGACTGATTTATTTTACGCATCGCTGCTTTAAATTTGTGCTCGTGTTGTGTTCTTTGTGAGCCGCACAAGTGCTTCTCCTCAAGCGATGTGCCAATGTACTACGTGGGCGAGCTTAGTGGCAACGACAGCTCATAAAAATGTGCCATGACTTTCCTCTGAATTATGCTGCTGGCTTCTATCAATTGTGTAACAAATCTACAGCTTGCTCTATGAATGTCAATTGTTGAGTGAACGCGAACTGTTACTTTAACAACCTGTAATGTCGTAGTTACATGGGCAAGCAAGCTACCCTCAGTTACGGTAAACTCTAGTTCTTTCAAACCATATCTACATGTTGTAAGACGGAAAGCCTAACCGCAGTTACCCACTAACCATGGTCACACCAAACACAGGTTGATTACCTCAGAAAAGGAAGCTAAGTAAAATAAAGGACGGTGCCCACGTCAGTGCTCTCAGGCAGCGTGGATCCAATGTACTCCCAAGCGCCTCCGAAAAACGAGTCAACTGGCCCTTCTCAACAGTAGAAACGATGACACGCAAAGCACTCCGTCAAAACGAACCAAGCCCCAAACACGCTACATCAAAACGGGTCAAGCGACGGGTGGTCTTGGCTTTCCCACCAACCACTAGGTGAGTTCGCCCATAGTTCAGAGATTAGTCCTTACATATTCTAGCAATCGTCAGAACCCTTGATGGATTACCGTGGCGGACAACTTGGTGCCAGAAGGAAAGATTTATTTGATTTATTTGAAATAAAACACAATCTTATTTGCCAATATACGCTTATAAACAAGCTAAACATTTGTATTTTCGATCGTGAGACTGAGTGTCTAGTGACCTGCTTCATAAACAAAACTACGGACAACTTTTTTGCATGCAACATGTGCAACAGCAGTAGGCGCTAACTAGCGTTTACTCTGGTCAACTGAAGCCCGTCGTAACTGTATACATATAGTTACCGTGCCGTTGAAACAAGAGTATAGCGTGCGTGGACACCGTTGAATGTAATGCCTACTGACATCTAGGAATGAGCGAAATGGCCGCTTCAGTCAATGGAGATATTGGACCTCTTATTATGTTGGTATCGTACATGATTGGATTCAACCCAGCTGCGTGAAAGTTGTGACCCCGTGCCGTGGCAGCATCACGAATGTCGCATGCCGTTCACCAATTCGAGGTAGAGAATATCGTCACTGTTAGCGTTAAAGAGCACGTTGTCTGAAGTTGTGGTGTGGGTGTCGGCACTGTTGGTCATTAGCGTGATTCGTGAGGGAGAATCCGAGTTAGATGCCAATAAATAAATCATACAATACATTGATTTGAGTAGGTATCAAACTGTGGCCATTCGACTTACAGGCAGGTGTTTCACCACTAGATAATGCCAGTGCTGGAAACTGCTTCGTAAACAAACGCCAAACCTTCGCGGAACGCACTGTACAGTCACAGCGAAAGCTAGAAGAGTGGCCTTTCAGAGCCTTTTCTAAGCACTATTTGGTTAACTGCTACAAACACACTTGCTGGGTACCTATTATGGAATAAATATTCATAAATTTTGTGTAATAGACCAGCACCAATGTGCCATCCTTCGTCATTCGTTGGAGAATCCTAGCATTCGCTACACACTTGCTAGGAAATTGGTCCAATTTGTTATGCAGTGGCTGACGACGATGAAGAGTTATGCTTGAAATGTTTATGCGCCTCTGTTATTATGTGTGAAAGAACCGGTTTTTGATTGGTTGGAGCACTGGACAGTCTACTCGTTACGCAATTCGCATTGTGTGACGCCTGGTTGGTTCTTTGATGTTATGAAATGCTTTATTATTCTTATTAACGCGATTCTTTTACCGACATCAAACCTGCCTAAGGCCAGTTTAGAAACAGTTTCCAAGCACCGGCGTGGCTCAGCGGTATAGTAATGGGCTGGCACGCAGCGGACCCGTGTTCGGAGCCCACAGTGTCCTCGATGTTTCTTTATTTATGGAGGTTTCTTTTTCATATTCCTTGCGATACGACCAACGGACACTGGCGGCGGTGGCGGCAAACAACTACGGCGCCACGCATGACTCGTGTTTTAACCTCATAACAGTTTTCCCTGTAAAAATGCCGTAACAATGTAATTTAGTGATATAGGCCTCCTCACCATGTGCATTGGGGCACGGCAGAATGATAGAAGTGCTCTGGATGCCAAAATATGTGAATTACGCAAAGAACGGGTGGTGTAAGGCTGAGAACCCATTGCATAGTGCGCCATGAAGTTGCACGTGGCACCTTACAGCGCTGCGTAAAGGCTACATTGCCGATTTAAAAAAGGAAGAATTGGAACGCAGTGGGAATATTTCAAAGTACTTGCAGTAGACATACTATAGGATAGTATGAAACGGCCACTGTTACGTGCACACGGTGTCCGATTACGCTGTGGCGTTCCACTCGTGAAGGCGAAGCTCAAGCGTCCTTCAGCTTTTGTAGACTATATATAGATGCAATGTAGAAGATTAAATGAAAAAAATTGTTGAATGTCATCGGCTGTTCGTAAAACAAGATAGTAGAACAAATAGAACAAGAGGGTACACTTGGTAGGCTGCATTGGTATAGGAAACCACGAAGTCCACCGGATATAATGGTTCCGGACGCGTCTCGACAACTGGACAGTTGCACGTTTGAATACGCCAAACGACAAGGGCTTGTCACTCGGCGTATATCGAATTTCGGCCATTCTACCACCCACTTGATTTAAAGAAGATGGTATAATCATGCGTCTGTGCAAGTGACCAGGAAGCACTGACCATGCCCCTAGCGCACCATAGATGAGCTGATATCAGGTGAGCATGCTCACATCCGTTTCATTGAAACCTAGGCCCCGCCCTTCCTTCAGCATAACTTTTTTGTGCTTCATGCTTCTTCCATAAAGAAGGACGTTGTGCTGATTCTACCACTTGGTCCTTTAGATTAATTAATGATGCGAATAATGAAAGAGCTTCTTCATGATTACAATACTCCCTAATACCAAATGTGAGCGCTGGTAGGCGCGATTTGATGTAGCAGTATAACAAGACGAATAATGCCAGAGAGGCATTCGTGCACGTGTAGATTCACATAGTTGCTGTTTACCTTAGTGGTCGTTGTTCCTTAGTCTCTTCTAAACATTTATTTTTACTTTTCGTGTAATTTTCCTCAATCATATTATTTATTGTCATTTCATGTTCTCCTTCTGCGGAGCAAACTGCGGTTACGTACGATGCTTTCTTTTTTATTTCTTATTCCTCGTTCACTTTTTCTATGTTTTTGTAACCATTTTTTTATTTGTTTTTGTATCCTCTTTCGAGGGCAAAGGTTTCAGCGTAGTCGAATGGGCCTCGGCGAAGGAGCTGCAGTTGTACAGCTCCAGGTGCGCAAAACCAGCGCTTGCAGTGAAGGTGAACTACAGGGGCAATACGCAATACAGGAATGGTCGCCTAAAGGTCGCTGTCTATCACGTCGCCACATCACTGCTACGGTGACCTTTCGCTATAACATCAAATGTTATTAGCTTTCCGAGTTTCTTTAGAGAAATCTTTATTTCAAAACATGCAAAAAACAACGGGTGGTATAAACAGGGCAACAATGGTCCACTGTTATCTTCGCACTGCACCCTAATAATAACAGTTGTTTGGGTAACAACCCCAGCAAACATATATTCACTCCTCCTTCACAAAGACTCGGCGCTGTAGTCTAAAGAGTTTTGTTCTGTCAGCAGTAAAGTCACGCGCATTCGAGAGTATGTACAAGTTTGCTAATTATTTGAACGCTATCAAAAGATCATGATGTCTGTGTACAGTCTTAAGCCACTTAATAATTTCGCTCTCTCAATAAATAACGTTAATTTAAGTGTAAACCTACGTACCAGAAGTTTGTTGTTATCACGCACATTTCTGATTGACGTATTCACGCTTCACCCACTAATTATGTTAGTAGTGCTCGGCGCAGACCACGCGGCAATGTTTTTGAAGCTTCGCAATTATTTGAGATAATTACAAATTGGTGGTGGGGCAAGATCCTGCTCTCATTTCGCGTACAAGCCAGTGTTCTGTCGTCTTTCTTGTGTTACGTCTTTTTGCCCTGGAAACTTTTTTTAATACACACCAACTATACACCATCAACAGAAAACGCACTATCTATACACCGGAACACAGGGAGTTCAGTGTGTGCTGTTGTTTTTAGGTTATATAGGCAGCTCGTCGCGCCATCTATTGCAAACGCGGTGAATCAACACCCTGAAATGTCATGCCAGTTGATGCCCCGTAAATAAAACGCAAAACTTCCAACCCCGAGTCCGGCTCTAAGCATGTTTCATGCTTTTATTCACCTGGAAATTTGTGCTGTTTTCCGGCGAAACGTCGAGAGGACCTTCCTCGACAGTCTGGGATGTCTACAGCGTGAAAATTGCAAACGGCGGAAACAAATTCATCAGGTAAGTACAGCCGTCAGCATCTTTAACTCGAGCGCTCCGATGCGTGGCCTCGGCTCACTCGGACTGAGGTGATCACCACCAGGCGTTAAAAACGATATGCTTGCTGCAGTTAACGATAGATGAAGCGCACTTCGGTTTCGCTTGTAAATTTCTCTTTTCAGTCGGCCTTACCGGCGGATCGAATGCACTAACTTGACATCCCGTTTTCGCGAAGTTTCGCTGGCGGCTTCATTGCGCGCGTGCCTATGGCATTCGCTTTTATATGCTTATGTCGACAATGATGCATTGCGTGCGACAGTTTACGCATCTTTCAAGTTTATATTTACAGCTGCTGCTCAAAAAAATAATAAAAAGCTGTACAAATGCACATTCAAGCGTTTTTAAAAGTTGCACAATAAATAAATCTGAAATGCGGTGGCGTTGGTCATGACCTGATTCTATAATTTTCAGACAGCGCGTATTGAACTGTACTCGCGATTTAGTGTGTAC